GATTATCGCCTATAAAACCCAACAGTACAAACTGTTACCAGGTTTAGCCATGGCTTATGCTACAAAGTTTACTTTTGATCGTGTGTGGAGAATGTTCAAAGAAACACAAATGTCCATTGCTGCTGGAGATTTCACTATGTTACCAGAGGTAAGGCGTTATTAGATGTCCAGTAAACTGAATCGTGCAGATAATCAGTTTCTTTTACTTTTTTAAACTATTAAAGAATATTTTTATTGCAGCTAACACTTGTTAAAATATCGAATTACAACTTGACCCTGTTGATCACTTGAAGGTTCCCACGCCTGCAACTTTTTCAGAAAAATCCTGCACGCAACAAATTGTTGAAAACAAAATTCATTCTTGGTTGTCTCCAATTGCTAGTCCTGTCACAAACATCAAATTGAAACTATTACTATCGTCCTTCTCCTGTAACCTTGGAAGTATTAAAAGGATTTTTTCCCTCGATTTTTGTGTGTGCGTTGAAGGTGAAACTATAGCAATACGGTAACAGTGCCGACCCTTTGATAATACGCCGCCACACCTAATGGCACGTTTCGGATTCTAATGCTACTTATCTTGCCCGTAGGTGCATCCTATTACCAGTGGTCTTAAAGCGTTCTGTACATCAACATCAATGCGCCATGCTGAGACATGTCGACTTGCTTGTGGTGGACATGGCTACCTACTGTACAGCGCTCTTCCAGAATTGTATACATTACTAAATGCTGGTTGTACTTATGAAGGAGATAACGATGTTCTCTTTCTACAAGTAGCTAGGTAAGCAACTCGATTATATATTGCTATTAGTCGCGATTGGCAAATACGCAGAGATAGAAAATTATTCAAAGGGTAACGGCTACTTGCTGTGGAACCTAGCCATAGACCCAAGCTGTTCAAACGTTTCGATATCCCGTTCTGATGTTATGTACGGACGCCATGGGTTTTCGTTGTGCAAATTAACATATGAGTTTGTCGTGACTTGTTTTGTCAACAGGTATCTTATGAAATGTACTTCACAAGTTAAACAGGGTAAGACACCTCCCTTGTCACTTTCATTCTTGTCGCGGAAACCAGAATTGTGTCCAGTAACAAGAGGTGAAGAATTCTTGGATCCTCAAGTGCAAAGGAAAATTTACTAGGATAGAACATCAAGGTGTGCAATTCTGTAAAATGGCTTCTTTTTTTTCAGATTTTTGCACACGCACAAATAAACATACAAAAAAAACTTAACAAACACATAACTTTCATTAAAACTATCCTACTAACATTAGCTTGTCTAAATAATTACAATGACTGCTAATACTTCACATGCAAGTAACTTATATTAATACGAAGATACTGAAATGTTTTAAAATGTCTGGAGATGTTTGTATCTGTGTATCTTGACGTTTATGGGTTAACTGAGAATGGATTGTTTTAATTTTGTAAATCCACACCGAGGTTATGGCTGTGGCAGAGAGATTGCAGAGCAGAATCTTTTCTGGAATGGATTCTGCTGATGCTTGGAATGAAGTGTCCGTAGACTTGATACGTTGTGCAAAGGTAAATCTTGCTGACAGATTTTATAAAGAATTGAAACGAAATGAGTACGAAGTAGGCCCTTTGAACGATCTGGTCACATGGTGCAATATCACACATGCTGGGACGCAAGTTGCACGGTGGGACTTCCAAAACAAAGCAATTCGTACCAGTCCACCTTGACTTGTTATTTTGCGTGGTGTTCGGTTAAGGAAGGACTGGGTACTAGTATTGCAGGGTGCGCTGGGTGTGATGGGATGCGACGAGGATAGAATCGCGAGAGAACTGAACACCAGCGCAAAACAGGAGACTTGACGAGGGAGAGAGGCTTTAAAGAGTCTACGCGGCGGAAGCCCGGTGTGTTTAATCGTGTGGGTGATGACCCAATGTTTTGTTACCGGTATTTAGACCCATCTGAGCCCCTATTGTTTAGTGTCAGTGTTACCAGTTAGTAAATTCAACTTAAGTAAATTTACTAATACTTTATTTCGAACCACAAGTTCGCAAAAAGTTAGATCCAAGACGCCTATTCTGAGGTCTCATTTTTCTCGGCAAGTTGTTGGCTTGAACGTAAACAACAGACAGCTTAACGCGTATTTCATTTCCAGGACTACAGTAACTATGTTATGGTGTTATGCGTACTGGAATCAATGGAGATGCTGTCTGGCGTGAGCTCAAGTTTGCGCAGGGTACTCAAATCTCTGACAGATTTATTTGTCCAGTATTGCATCGCTGAGAATTCAGGCAGTTTTCTTGAGGTAAGAAAAAATCTTTAATCCATATTTTCATAAAGATCATCTTAACGGAGCTCAGTCGCTGCAGCATTTTGGGTTATTTGGCCGCTTACAAAATAACCTTAAATTGAAGGAAACCTGAAAATAGTATTAAACTAAAATAGAAAAACACCAAAGAGATAATAATAAACCATAAAGTAACAAGGATGGAGAAGATTAACACGGATATTTGCAATCGACGAACTTGAAAAAAATGTAGGCTAAACTTTTCAAGATGCGCAAACCTTGACGTAGCTTCTTTAAGGGTTACAGATTGCCGAAGATGTAATGGAGTGGCTATACAACAGTTGTTAGGAAACGATACTGGCTCGATGTACTGCGTAATTCTCCTAACGATTATTACTAGAAATACAAGAAAACAGCAAAGGGAATCATGGGAAGGGATTAACGCGTTCCATTTTGTAAGATAGCCATTTCATTTGTAGAGAATTCCACGTGCGCTCTTTCATTTCTTCTTATAGGCTGGAGTTCTGAATTGCGAACAGATTCAAAGCATACGACAACAAGTGTATAGCTTGATGGAAAAACTAAGGTTTGTAGTTCTTATTTGAAAAAAATAATTACAAATTACCTAGATTGTTTTTCATGATAGAAAATGTTTTTATTCTGACCATGTTGCTTGGCCCTCCTCGGTCCCAACTAGCAAACATTGATGAGGATCACTCACAGGGGTATGATGTCAACTCTCATGTACATCTTAGCAAAGCGTTTGACCACGCACGGGTACGAGTTGATGACAGTTGAAGAAAAAGTCTGCATACGAGCCAAGTGGCCCATCAGGCCGGAGCTTATCTCGGTTTTGTATCATGAAGCGTCTAGGAGTATTTCTTCTCCATCCCGGATGGGATGCTAGTTCATCGCAGAGTTACCCCCAGCATTTAATTCGCCAGTACTCTTTTATACACATGGGTATACAACACCATGTCCCCGGGCACCAGGGCTCTGACCCGTACCGCTCGATCCGGAGACGAGCACACTAACTAGTAATCTACTCTGGTTCTGGTTTAGTGACCTTTCTATCCCTTGTAGCCTTAACATAAACATTCAAGGGTGACATGTGCACCTGAACTAAGACGTACCAGTTTGTGTTGCTCACACGAAATGGTTTAAATGTCGTTGTTGTTATTTGAACGTACAGACCTGAAGCAGTGTGTCTGGTAGACGCCTTTGATCATTCAGATTACGTACTCAACTCACCGCTTGGACGCTACGATGGCAACGTATATGAAGACCTTTTTAGATGGGCTCAGAGATCAGCTTTGAATAAGGATGAGGTAGTGTTGGCTAATATATAATCAGGGGCGTAACTAAGGGGGGTCATGGGGTGCCCGAGACCTCCCTCCCACTTTTGTAAGCTTTTTTTAAGTAAACAACCTACAACAGCTAGGTGGTGTAAAACGACATGACAATCTGGTGAGTACCCTCACGTNCCCCTCCCCTTTGAAAAATCCTGGCTACGCCCCTGATAATGTATGCTCGATTTATGAAAACGGTGTTAATAAAAATCTCACCCTGCTCAAGCGTCTCCGAAGTAGACGATGTAAATTTTTCCTTTCCTTTTTTCATTGTTAGAATGATTTTTAGGCCTTTAAAAGTCGTAAAATCAAAGTCTGTTGCTCACTTGGTGTAAAGGAACGTAATTTTCAATAACACAGTTTTCATAGATCCAGTCATATATTTATGTTGAGAATCAGTTTGAAATCCGAACTTGAGAAAACTAGTTTCGGCTGCATTGAATAGGCGTTAACAGGGACGAGATCGTAGATGGTTACCACTAGGGAGGGTGGGACCTGTGGTGCCCTGATGGCTAGTGCACGCATCCGACTTAAGGGAAGAATAACCTGCGTCGCAGACAGTCTAAACCGATATCGGGGAGTTTGTGACATGTGCGGCTGCAACGCAGGCTAGGGAGGAAAAAAACCGGAATTAACCACTGGCAGCTATGAGCTACTGGTCCTCCACCCATATACTTTTGAAAAGCCTATCCCTTCCCATAATGAAGTAATTCCCCCCGTCTCCCCTCTCCCTATTAAAAGTCAAGCTAAAGGCCCTTAGTGAGTTGTACAAACTCTAACATGGGCTCAACACTGGAACTTGGCGATATTATAAGGTTTCTATCACAAGATTTCTTCGTGTTTGATTTTAATGCGACAAACGTGTTTTCATTTCAGGTTCAGCCAGGTTACCACAAGTACCTGCGACCATTAATGAACAGCAACAAAGCCAAGTTGTAGATAGGAAAGTCACACTTACGAAAGAACTGCTTGTCACCTAATTTAAAAACGTTTGAATGAAAATGAACAGAACGGTTAAATTTTGAGCTCCCCCATAAAACCTATTATGTTCAATGTCCGCCAAAATTCAACGTTTAAATATTACTTGTATTTTTAGCATTCGACTTTGTACTTTGTACCTTCATGTGCAACTGGACATTCGAGTTTTCAAACTGTTCACTCCTGTTGCTAATTTGGCGGACAATGAACGCCATACTTCTTCGGGGTCTTGGGTATTTTGCATTTTGTACCCCCTCCTCCCCCCCTCTAAACAAAGTTTACTTAGGATTCTGATGGAAACGAACCCTTGAATGTTGCGAAATTGTCCTTGAAAATCCTCGAAGATTCCTTGAAAAAAGAGATCTGGCATCTTGTATCCTCGAAAACTGATTTTATTGTATTTTATAGTATTTAAGGAAGTAGGTTTGAAACATCAGGTTTTTATTTGCTGTCATACAGGGATTCAATGACACTTAGGATTAGCGAAGATCGTTATAAGATGAAACAAACAGCAGATCGTTATTACCACGATCTGTCTGAATGCAGTTGTTTCCACTGGGAATCAATTCGTCAAGTCATGTAAATGAAAATTACGCGATCAAAATTAAGAGTCACTGACTGGAAATATCGAGAATGGCTGGCCAAGTTAGGAAAATCGTAAATCCTGAAACTTTGCCTAAAGAACGCTTTTAGGGAGCCACTTTCGAAAATATCATTCCGATTTTCTTAGAATTTAAAGCCTTCGAGAAATTCACAAAAAACGAAAATATAGCTTTTTGCCCCATCAATATACAGAAAATGTCTGGAAAATTGACAAAGTTCTCGGTATTCGCATTGAAACAATTTACAAAACTAGAACTTGGGGTTAACTTAGCATAAGAACTTTACTTTTCTTCTATCTAACAATAGGAAGTTTTACATTGTTCAAGCAT